TTTGTGTGTGTGTGTGTGTGTGTGTGTGTGTGTGTGTGTGTGTGTGTGTGTGTGTGTGTGTGTGTGTGTGTGTGACAGATCAGAAATTTATAACTCGTGTTTCCTTAGATCAAGAGCGTTCAAATCCGATAGAGCAGAGGCGGCAGTATGGGAACAGGGAATATAGGTGGCAGCACTGCGTTCCGTTCGAGGGGCGTGGTGTGCTCGAAAGTTCTTCACTTGGACCTAGAGCGTTCAGCTTGGAAAGGATAGAAGCGCCAGAATGAAAACACCAATGGAATACGGCAGGACTAAGGGCGGAGCTTACGCAAAATGGGCGTAATCTGTGTAAAACTACGCAACCAAGTTGGAATAAGTGAGCAGTGTACAAGTACTTATACACACATGGCTTGAGCTGAATTCAGCTATACGGGCTCGGCGTTTTTGAGGTATATCGGTGGGTGCGCTTGCCTGGATATTTGCTGTTTTGTATGTGTGGCCGGAAAGTAATAACTCCTCTTCTACTGGTACTACTGTTACAGCACACACTGATTCGGATGGGATGCGGGCGGCAAGCCAAGTTCACCACGAAAAGGAAGAGATTAGCTGGGCAATTCGACCGGTGAAAAGTAAAAGGGAGGGAGGGATAAGGGCACTTTTGCACTATTACACCCCCAGTATTGAAGGGGGTGATATGGGTCAAAAAAATTTTCCGCTGAAACTTGCACCAAGGGGGTTATCGAGGCCGCTGATCACGAATATGATATCCATTTTTGGCGCTGTCGCCAAGGGTGTTTTCACCAAATTCGCTGTAAACTTGTGTACAGAAGTTATCGAGGTCGGTGGTTACGCATTCTTTGTGAAACGGGTAACTCTCTTCGATGATAGGTTGAGCCCAATTACCTGAGGGCACCTTAGAGACTGCGCTTCAAAACTCTCGAGCAGACGGAATGAAATCGAAATGAGGTCAGAAGCATTTTCCCACGCTTGCAGGCAGCCAAGGAATCGGCATTAGTAGCCGTAGATTCACTTCTCACTTTCGTTACCAAAGCGAAGCATGGCTCTCAACGTTTTGAGACAACGCAATCGCCAGCAGGAGTTGATGGATTTCTCGTTGAAGGATGCGTTCGAAAAACTCCAGACGGATCACCTGCACTTCCAGGATTGGCTGCGATCTATGGGGCTAATGTCTACACCGTTATGCCTATTGTGCCAAGGATCCATGACGCCGAGGAACACCACAATGGCTGGGTGTGTAACCGAAGTTCGTGCCGCACTGGACCGACGAACGAAACGAAGGTCTACGTTCCTGCAAGAAAAGGCTCATTCTTCGACAAGTCCAACCTCGGCGAGTCGACTGTGTTTGCTCTGTCCTACTTCTGGCTCCACGACATGGGAAAGGTGAAGGACAAAGCATACGAGCTTCACATGAATCCTCGTACCGTTGTTCAGTGAGAGAAATGTCTCCGTGACGTGTGCGCAGAACACTTTAGAATGAACCCACTAATCATCGGAGGATTCGGATGTGAAGTGGAAATCGACGAAACCCTGGTTACTCGGCGCAAATACAGGGTGCGCCAAGATTACCTGCTCAAATTTGCAGAGTTTGACCTATCGATTTAATGCGGCGATGATCTATCGATTAGCCGCGAACATGTTAGGCACTTCTTCCTTTATCAAGAACCCAAGCTTCGATCCTCAGCTCTTGCTCCTTTCAAAATGGTTGGACCTCATCCTCTCAGACCCGCGATTATTCAGTTACACCAGATGGGTCGCTGTTCCAAAACCATCGCAGAAACTCTATCAGTCAGCAGAAGAACAGTGGAACCCACCATCAAAAGATTCAAGGAGCTCGGTACTTTAGAAGACCGTCCAGGAAGAGGAAGAAAAACGACCGCAACTTCCACGAGAAATGTTAAAGTTGTACGGGATATGGTGCGACGCAATCCGAAGAGGTCGATGAGGAAGACTGCCAAAAAGCTGGGAATAAGTCATACTTCCACTCGCCGTATAGTCAAAGAGAAGCTGGGATTGACACCTTATCGATGCCGGAAGGTGCACCTCCTCACTGCATCTATGAAGAAAAACCGGGTCCAGAAGTGCAAGATGCTCCTCCAACGGTTCGCGTCGGCGCGCCACCATGACATTGTCTTCTCCGATGAGAAACTGTTTACGTTGGAGTCGACCTTCAACCGTCAAAACGATCG